TGTATGGGCCGCTTCGCATCCAAACGCCACTACGAATGTATAAATGGAAGTAGAATGCGTGCCGCATCCCAAAAAAGGAATTGATCAACAGCAAATGCTTCATCCTTTTTATGCTTTAGTAGAATCTAATCAATACAGATTAGGTGCGCTTTCAATAAAGGGCCTATTCAATCGATGTTAATTGCAGCTGTAACATATTTCAAACGTTTGATTTCGATGAGAAATGAATGTGGTGAATATGGTATTCAAGTGCACCAACGGGCTTAATGGTGTAAAAATTCTCGCATGATAGCCATGAGCAGCGTGAAATGAATTCTGTTGGATGAGCAGGACACAGTTCGTTCAGTAAGCTCTCACTAGGTAGATTTGCCCAATGTAACTCCGAACTCGACAACAACCTTTGCTGAGCTGGCATTTTACGACACTAGCATAGTGCCATAAAAGGCAAAAACCAGACGTCATAAAAAGTTTCACTTGAAGGAAAAGGTAGTGCTCTGTTTCTCCTACTCCATTATGATTCGTAAGTTGAAAAGGGAGGGAAAAAAAGCTAGCTCAGTTGGAAAAAGGCCCGATGACTGCGATAAGTTCTAAAGAGTTCCAGGTAGCGAGCAATTTGGAAAGCTATTTTCTCACCTTCTTTACCTCATACATTTGAAGTTCAATTGTTTCCGTAGCAGCGTCCCCCTCCATAAACCCTCCATAAATTGTCCAAAGGAACTCAATGTATAAGTGAGTTGGGGATGAGTGGAGGTGCCCTAGCAACTGCATGAGAAAATTTGGAATTTCTGAAGGGATATCCATGGCAAATGCGGGTGAACTGCAACTGCTTGAATAAGGGCTTGCAAGGTGAAGCATATATTTTAGGTTGATGACAACTCTGGCTAATTAAATGAAGCTGAGACATGAATTCGCATTTGCAGTGGAGGAGTAGGTCAATATTTTCGAGGACTTATCGTTAGTTCAACGAGATTCATGTATGTGAGTGGCTGTGAGGAAATCAGTTCCACGGTTGGGCTCCCTGCTATTTTGTGTCCCCCAACAATAAGTGCAGTCTAGCGAGTGAATTTTGCTGCGCATTTCTCGTCACCCTTACCAAGTGCACGCAGACTGGCAGTATTTTGGAACTTGTTCGAACCGCTCCCCATCACCTTTTTCGCCTCACCCCTCTGCACCCTCTGTGAGTGTCTCTTGAACTGCGCTGGGGTAAGGTCGCCCGGAGATGGTTGTTACCTTGCGCCGTGCAACCCTGAATGCGCTAATCATAGGTGGTAGCGCGTTATTTACAACGGTCTTGATGCACTTATAAACACGTCGACGATGTCTTGCCATTATCTATCGGCAGTTTTGCTTTGGGAGAGTGTGCATTTAACTTGAAGGAGTTTATCCAACGCCGACTGTTTTTGAGGATCGTTTGGCGCGAAATAAACTGTGGGCTATATAGACAAGACATTCGTGGTTGATGATTATGGCATATGTGTGCAGAAATCCTGATCAAACATTGGCGCGAGAGTGCAGGGAGTTACGTGCCCGTGCAAACAATTCGCAAGACCTTGAAACTCATGTTTAGTCTGTGATTCTTCACAGCATATTGAGGGAAAGGGTGTCTGTTTTGGAACAACAGCACACTCCAATCTAGCGGTCGCATCGACACTTCAGGGTAGCGTAATCGTTTCGGGTTGTTTGTTGCGCGACGCCGGGGATGATTGCTGCCAGGCAGGAGGGGCGGCGCTGGACGGCTGGCTGGCGCTCTACTGAGCTCTGCCGTCTCGTAGGCAACTCTGCCGCTGTCTGTGTTGTTGTTTGGGAATCAATGCCGAGTGCGCTAGTCGCGTTTTGCTCTGCCATTTACCACTGTCCCTAGTGAATGCTCTAGCTGCTCACACAACTATCAACTTCACAGATTCACAAACTGCCGGCTCACCAATCATCCGGCCCATCATTTTTACCCTTCCCCGGATACTAGTTCTACAGTATGCTATTCATCTTCAGACTAACGCTGTTTTTAGTCATTGGCTATTTGGTGAGTCTCCTTAGCTCTGAACTTTTTTAGGGCACAATTTTCTTTCATTTTGTGAAAGAATCCGATTTAAAGCCAAACCGGTTCTACACATGCACTGCCGAAAACACAGAACTCAAGGATTACAAATTTGGTAGTCAGTTCAGCCTCGAGATCACGACAAATCGTCGGAGAAGCTGTAAGTGTTGTTTAATACTTCATTTTAATTTTTCCCATTACCGTTTGGTACATTTTTGATGGATTTTCTTTTTCGTAAGCGTTTTTGACCTGTCATGCTGCGAAAATGACACATTTGAACATTCGAGTTCGCAGTAAGGCCGCAAACTTGCTTTTCTATCGATTCGCGACTATTTTCCTCTCTCCACTCTCGCTGGTGTGTGTGACAACGTAAATAGCCTTACCAGGAAGAATATGGAGGGAGACGCGGAGAGGTTTTTTGCAGTGCACGCGTACTCGCGTTTATTTCTGAAACTGTTCTTGTCCGTTTATTACATTAGGGCGTTTTTCCCTTAGTTGAGTTTTTGTCACCTCGTAGTGTTGGTTGTGCCAAGCACCTGCTATTCAGTGATTGTTGCCAGGTTGGTGGCAGTCCAGCGTTACACCGATACACTCCTTCGCACACACCTTGTGTTGTCAAACATAACAGAAGGAAAACAGGTGACATAATCTGGAGGACCCTTTAGCATAGGCCGACTCCATTTAGAAGTAGTGATATGTAAGTAATGGATATGCGAAGCTGGACCGCCTATACAGCTTGACTATAGCTGCCTTACTCTTAGATATCGGGACATATGAAGGCGCAGTTTGAGGAGGCGTTGCGGTGCAGTAGTTCGTCCCGGCAACAGTAATCCCATTTTTTGCAAGAGGAGGAACTTCGGGGTCGCTAAACCAGTTTGCTCGTGAAGGGAAGTAAAAGAGTGTGAGGTCTGTCTTAGCTTTATATGCCTTCTGTGCTTATCATCGCTGTGCCTCTCCAACTACATTTGAGCCCCCATTGATTTTTTCTCGCAAGTTTTCCTTATGAGATGCTTTTTTGTATAGTTGCAAATTTTCGGCAATAATTTGCATAGATGGCGTATTGCGGCATATGACGTCTCAAAGGGCATTTGTCTTTTTGTCATGCTTCGTTTGGGAGCGCACTTCTATTGGAACCGCTTGCTGCTGCTTTGAATTCGGTTCAAATATCACTTCTTACCTTTGAAGCGCCTAAGAATCAATTGTGCGATCTTCTTGACCATGAATGCCGGCTGCGAAAATTGCATAGATTAAGGGATTGTGATGGCGTTGGTAGTGCCCTCACATCGGCCACTCATCAGATTGTAGATCCCACATTCATTCAGCCTATGCCACATTCTCTCAGTTTTGGGTTTCCTTGATGTTCTTTCACGAGATCTGAAGCACGCACAGAAATGTATGGCCAATTCATCTTGAATCCGGGAGTAATTAACAGACGACGGAACCATCGTTCGATCAGCGTTAGGCATTCAAGCGTATGAAGAATGTCAGTGCACTTCCGTTTGAATCATTCATTAAGCACACCGTCCATTTGGAGCGCATGCCTAATCCACGGCCACCACTCTTCCCATATGGGTGACACATGCTGTATCGGAACCCATACTGTTTGACAGTTGAATTCAAAAACCTATGCGGAGCGGATGACATTCTGACTCAGTAGTTTGTCATTTAGGCGTATCCTCAAAAAATGGCCAAGAATTTGTGATGGAGGGCATGGAAGTGCTATGTGGTGTTTTTGACATAGAACGAAGGCAGGTGTTTGGTACACGTACAGTCATGGACTATGGTATGCTAAAATGATTGACGATGTAACACCCTGTCAGCATCGATCAGCGCGCTTCTTGTCCATCTCTCCATAACTAAACTGTCACCGCGTACTCGTATGGTGAAGGGTTCCTATACACGACGTAAACAAGGGTGAAATGTGTTAATTTGACTTCACGCATTCCAATAACATCTCAAAATAGATTGGTAACAGTTGAAGAAGTCCGCTGCAGGAAGATCCTGGTGAAATGTCAGGGAAATTTTTTGGAAAGCACAAGGCTGATAACATAACAGCTCAATTTTCAGTGGGAAATGTGCCACCAAGTGAACAATACGTCAATCAGAGTTCGCCGATTGCTCTACAGGGTCAGCAACACAAATTGCACTGTTTCTTCTCAGGATAGTGAGTTTACATGCTCGATTTTATGCTGTTGATTTTTTTCTAGTACCATTTTTTTGATTTGTAGTACGGAGTGATTGTAAAATTTCCTTATAATGTGATTAGTGGTAGCTTTTGAAAGAAGATTTGTGGATGTGCTTGGTGGGAATAGGCGGCTATGTTGTTTTTCTCATACCCTGTTGCACACGCGTTGACCAAATTAATTTAATGGGTTCAATGTGTCGGCCAATTCTCGCTTGCCTGGCTGAACAATCCTCTTATGTAAATTCAGCAATAATTCCTCTAAGCTCACCATGCTGACGCTTTTCTTTTTCTTTTTTTTTCTGAGATTCATAATTTTTACTCGTGATCAGTCGTACTATTTTTTATGAATCGTATTTCTATCGGTTTAGAGTGTCACTAGGTATAGTCGTCCCATTATCGAGTTCGTATATCTCCCAAACGCTTCGTCGTTATGCAAGTCATCGCACCATAGTGTCCATATATTGCTGACATGGCTACTACTATGGAAACTTTATTGGCGTGGACTGCAAAGAGGCCTCGAGGGACATCGAAAAGTCATCAGTGGCAGTCGATGGCTGACACGCAGGGGAGAAACAAGGGTCATTGGCGGCTGCAGGACGTCAACTGGGTTCGGGGCCGACACGCGAGCATTTCGTCTCCCCTTCATTTGCATTTCGACGACCGCTACCCTGGATATATTTGGAAATGGATAGCGTGCGCATGAGGGCGCCTGGAAGTTGTCGTTTCGGCTTGGGTGAGAGTAGTCGCGCTCACGGACCGATAATGGAAGAGGGGATGCCAGCTGGCCGGTCTCTTTGGCTCGAGGAGTTTCCGAGCGGATTGGCAGCGGTCAATGCGATTACCCCACGTTCCTGACGCTGTTTACGGATGCGATATCGATCGTTGTTTATGCGGACTGTGGTGTCCATTCGCATAATAGCCAGCGCGGAGTTATTAAAGGAATGGCTCCGTGCCAGCTATTAATAGGGTGGTTATGGAGGTGAAAAAGCCATCGCTCCATGCTGGAAGGTCGGCTGTGAGCCAAATATTTTGGGACATTGCTGTTCTTTAGACAGGATTTTGTCTAACTAATAGCGACTGAAGTATTAACCTGTCTTGCAAATCCTACTTTCACTGGAATCTGCTCTGTGTGTGTGGAACGCTTACAAATAATATTTAACCCTTTGACGACCGTGTGGCCCGCCGGTGGGCCACACTTTCACTCGGAGGCGACTCGTTTTTCGTGGTTTATTTGGCATTTTTTATGTTTCAAAACTACCCAATACATTATCGAATCCGCGGAATAATGCGCTCATTACTAATAATGAAATTGTTGGAGAGTTAATGATTATTGATGAAAAAATTTAAAAAGAAATGAAGTGACGCACGCACAACGGCGGTCGTCAAAGGGTTAATAAGACAGGTCTATAATATCTATGATAATGATCTATAGTTCATCTAGATGGTTTTGATTGTTCTCCATTGCGTATTGGAAAATCAGTCCCTTTCAATGGAGCTTCAACTACTTATAAAGTTTTTCCAAAGTCCCTAAGTGGGTAGATACATTTCGTATTGCAAGCAATTTGATTTATAATATCCAAATTTGTGGTTTAATAGATGTGATCGCTCCCGTGACCAAAAATTGTGATGGACCCTGTTATAAATGCATCAGCTTTTGAGTTTATTCAGCCTCTAGGCTTTGGGATGACATTGATCTGCGTGCCAGATGGCTAGCAAGATGGTGAACGCCGAATCCCTTGTTTAATTATGTGACTGGAAAAAAAGCAGCCGTGGTGTCGCATGAACAATGACGCAGTGAAAATCGAGCAAATCTTGTTTTCAGCCCTGCTCCGAAGCCTACCTGGTATCACAATGGTCGGGAAATCAGTGAAGATACCGATGAAGGGTTTCGGTTTGAATCGTACGGGAAGACATTGGTGCGTTCGTTTTGTCAGTGAAACGTTTGTCAGTGTTTGTTTATTCTTTTTCGGCTAGTCGCATTCAGTATATCGAATTTCAGGTATTCAATGTAACGCAAGACAAAGCCGGCAAGTATGACTGCCGTTTTCCCGTCCATAATGACATCGACAGGGCGTTCAACGTGGTAGTGGAAGGTACGTGTTTTATCTTCTTTGCCGCAAAATTGTGCACATGACCTGCTAAGCTAGGTTTTCGTTGTCGTTTTTTTTCGCCTTTTAAAGCCCACCTGCTCCACTGAAGCTCGAAATATGTAATGGTTAATGTTTCATCTCAATTCTAATCCGTCCTGCATGGAGCATCTGCAATCGATCCGCGGCACACGCCGAACCAGTCGCGTATTCGGCCAGGTGCTCAAATGAAACGCCGCAGTTGTTTCGCCTCATCCACCCACAGACGGATAATTTTTTCACAAGACCGCAACGGCTGCTCGCGGTTGCGGAATGCAGAATGTTTCTCACCTTGATTAGTCAGGGGGGGGTCAGGTTCATGCGCCAACTTCCGAGAGCAGCTGTAGTGATTCATGCAGAAGTAGAAAAAGTACTCCATCACAAAACCGTTCACGTATTTTTATGCATAATTGGTGCACCTTTGCCTTTCATATGCGCAAAGCGGCAAGGTTTTGCGCGTCTCTATGTCGTAGGGAATTAGGAGTTGTCAAATACGCAAGTCGCAATAAACAACTTGAATCTTTTGAGAAGAAAGCTGGTGCTACTCATCAATCCCTGAGGAGCTCGTCTGTACGTTGCTGTGCCATGTCACGGAAGCTTCTTTTTCTTTAGTGAGGACGCCACGCGCTAGAATGAAGAGTTTTTGCTCAGAGTTATTTCTGGAGTAGAGTAGAGGATCCGAGTACATCATTTCATTAGTGCCAAATTATGTCATTGATTTGCTTTTAATGAGGAGTAATGACTTCCGGAGGTAAAAGAAATGAACTAAGGTGGGGTTGTTCAACGAACATCAGTGGTATGAAATCGCATAGCGTAGAACGTGCGTATTTCGTACGACCAACAAGTTTAAAAATACATAAGTGAAACAGCCAGCTTCGCGTTAGTTCTGGCGTAAAGTTCTCCTCAAAATTCATCTACTTACCACTAGCGATTCTCGTAAAAATTTTTCGATGCTGCCTAGCAGTTTCTTGAATAGTTATCACAAAATCCTTACTCAAATTATCGGTTTCTGCAGAAATTCTGCATGAAGTAATAAATTATGAAAGGGGGATTTGTATGTTACGCTTCTGAATACATGTTTTGTCGAAAAGGTTTAAAAAGTTTAGAAGTTCAGTTTCTTTGAGGTTTTTTGAACATCATGTGTTTTGGAACGCTGCTAAGTTTATTCTGGCTAAAATTGGGATTAAACTGACAGCTGCGAATTTCACCGCATTGTTTTTGTGTGTTAGCATTTGAGCATTATGAGTTAGTTTATATTCAACTGTTTCAGCCGCTCCGTACTGGCCAGATGGACCACCACCGAACACCAACACCAGCGAAGGTGAGACGGTCACCTTCGACTGCACGACAAGTGGAAAGCCAGTGCCGAAAGTCACTTTCTACAAAAATGGCGTTGGTTAGTGTTTAACTTCTTCATATCCTTTGAAAAAATCACCATGTTATGAAATTCGAGCGCATAGTGCCACTCTTAACAAAAACGTTTTTTAATTGTTGCGCCAACAAGACGTTTATTGGGGCGAGAGAAGCGATGTAGTGCAAGCACGAATTTCGGCGATGAGGCAGGCGTAAGCGTTTCCAGCTGTAAATCGAGAAGGGCGCCTCGTTCGATAGTTGTCTGCATACGCCTTCTAATGAAAGTTCTTTCGTAATGTAATTTCCTCTGAAACTTTATCTCGCGCGAAGCAAAGCCAGTGGGGTGGTTCTGCGCTGGCGATATAGAATTGTTTCAAAGGCCGTGATGACCATTCTCTCTTAAACAGACAGAAAATAGGTTTTGGTCATACTCGATTCATTGAGACACTTCGGCGGTAGCCTAAAAAGAGAAGTATTCATCTTTGACGTGCACGTATGGGGCACGTACTCGTTTTCTTATATAAATTCGGAGAGTTATGTACGGAACGATCATATCGGGTGCGCTTGTTAGGCAATGTGCGTCTTCCTATTTACTACTGGTGTCATTCGACCGATTTCTATGGAAATCTTGATTAGTCTGCGACGAATTTCGCTTTTGCGACCATGGAATCCTGGATTCGATTACAATAATAAATATGCGCAATCTCTATAATAACTCACCGAGCTGAAGGGTTTTTAAACGTGCAGCGGATTGGAAGTGGTGACGAGAATGACCTCTTTTTAAGTGAATTGGGAGAAAGGCGCTCAGGAAGGTTTTCGATTCTTTATGTCACGTCATTCGGTGGCAGACCTTGACCAATATCGTTTTCGTAGCTAGCGAAACGCATAAACTCGACGCGTGGCGAAAAAGGGAGCCGAAGCTTCTCGATAGAAAACGTATGGGTTGGTGAGAGTGGATCTCTATCTATAATCAGACAAGATCTCGAAATTAATGGTAATTCCAAACTCAACAGCTCCCTGCTAGAAGCACCCTAGTGCACTCATTCGTGGTGCATGACGGTAATTAAGAAAAAAACCATTATAAACGAAATAATTAAAATGGTTCGTTTCGCTCCTTCCTCAGACGAACCTTATTATTTCGTCAATCCCCGGAGCTCATCAGTGAGTGAGTTGGGACTGGTGAAACATGGACACAGACCCCTTCACAAACCCTTTATAGTGCACTGCCGTAAGCCCGCGAATAATTTTTTTTAGGATGATTTCATCAAAACATTTATTCTAAACTTTGGTAATGTGGAATCAACCTTGACAAAATGAGGATAAAAGACCCTGATCGTTCTGAGATGAATCCACTGATTGGGCAAAGCTTTTCCTGATGCTTATTCAAAGAGTTCGTTGAACTATTTCTTAATGTCTAGCTGGGAAAGTTTATTTCGCATCATAAAAATGACACACTACGTTAACTACAAGTTTTCTCGCTTCTTAACTAATACCGTGGCTGCGTTGAATGTGTGGCCTTGCGTCATGTTCATTTTTCCATTTTCTTATTTTCTTGGACTGATTAATTTCATGTTTTCATCATTGCCTCGTATAACATGATGTTTTTCACTGAGAACGTTTCCATTGTTTCTCGCGCTAGACAGGCGCCTTTTCTTGCTTTCGGGAATGTTCAAAAAATTTTCGGTGGAAAATTGTGAATCACTGCCAACTTTTATAAAGCCATATCATAATAATCATATCATACATGTCATCACTAACGTGAGACACAGTCCGAGAAAGATGAACTGTTTACAAACACACAGAATGAGCCGACTTCATCGTACGAGATTGCCATTCGAAGGCGCTAAGGCCCAACAATTCACAGTACTCAACCTAGCGGACGTGGTCTCATAGTGTAGTCGTCATAGGCCTTGTCTGCGACCAGTCTGATCCATGTTTCGTCGTCTCCGATTGTTTTCCCTCTTCTCGGCGTCTTGTATCTCTCATTTGCTTTCTGATTCTTGAACTCCTTCTCGGCCTAAAAGAATAAGACCCTTTTTTCAGTTTTTTTTTTGATTTTTTTCTTTTTATCTTCAGTATTGATCCAATTATCAGTTCCATTTTCATTTTCAAGCGGAATAAGCGTATCAGTTTGATTTCCAGCTTTCTTTTGATTATTTTGCAAATGTTCTGTTCTGAAAATCAGCTGCCATATACGTGCGACTGAGGAGTTCAAGAGGCTGGCTTCGGTTTTCAGAGGCCATATTTTTGTGAGAGCGCTTATACATTGTAGAGCGATTTGGAAAGCTATGTCAATACTGCGATGCTATGATGCAGCGCTGTACAGGCGTCGACGCAGCTTGTGTTTGCCGAGTGTTGCTTGTAGGATATTACCGCCAGATAACGTTTACCAGTATTCCACTTGTCCGCTGTCGCACGACGCCATTGGTTGAATAGGAGGAGGGGAAGTGGCAAACGCCGCTATCTAGGCAGAGATTAAAAAAGATCGTACAGATAAAATTCAAAGCCTAAATTTAGTCTTCAGACTTGGGCTTCGCTGGATAGTTCTCGCCGTTATAAATAAACAAAACTTTAAAACGTTACTGGTTGACACGGAGGCCACCACTCAGTCAGAGCATTGCTGGCGCAAATCGATTACACGAATTGTTTTGGTTTTTCCCCTATGAACTGCTCGTAAATCAGTGGTCGTTACGCCAATGCGAAATGGCTTTATATGCACCGGAAAGAGATGGTGACATTGTGCGTTAGACTTGACGTCGCGATGAGTGCTCTGACACTGTGAAATTTTTGATTCAAATGCTTCATTTCTGGGTGCTTCGTTTACGCATAAGTTTACAGGGAAGAGGGGAGCGCAAAAAAGACCTTTTTCTCGTGGCACACATCAGCAATCCTTTTATCACGAAGGGTGCCGCTGCTGGTGGGAGTCCCACGGCAATGTATCCTGAGAAGTCCTTTCATTAGCAGGAGAAAAGCTCTCGTTCACTGCCCCGATCTTTTCTGAAATATGAAGCCATCGCCGTCGAGTTCAAGGTGGTCCACAGTAATAGCCCAGCTAATAGCTCCCAGCTTGAAGCAGCTACTCCATTTCTTCAACGAGTTCGTTGGTGGATAATCTACGAGACAGTAGCTCTGAATGTGCGAGACCCCCATTCCCCAGCATTTGAGACAAAGTCTTTATGGTCCTCGAGGAACGGGCGAGCTCGAGTCACTTGGCAATTTCTTCTGTTTTCTTCCGTGTATGAAGCTATTCTGAAGATGTAATATTTGGATGTACTCTTCAATTTCCATTCGGAAGCGCCCGTTTCGATTTAATTATGTCTGATTACATTTAACTCTAAAGTGAAGAAGGTTTTCAATGCCCCCCTCCCACACCGCTCAGTGGAAGGTCGTGAATGGATGATAAAACCAGTCTTTGTGCAGAAATGCTGGTGAAAGTGCTCTGCGCTATATTGGTACTTCGATATTCTAATTCTTGCACATTGACCATTTTCAGCAGTCGAAAGCTAATGTGAAGGAGTGGCAAAGCTAAATGTAGCAGCCGCTTTCTTTTCCCACGCATTAGTTACAAGAAGTGAATAGATAAAAGAGTGCAGTACAATACTTGTGGTGGCGCCCAGTGACATCATTGCATCTACACCCCAGTATCAGCTTTATCCATTCTTTGAAATTGACTGGTTTCAGAGATGAAAAAGCCGAAGGACGGCGAGAAATGGGTAATTGAGACGAATCGACTCACCATCTACGATGTGAAAAAGGGTATCCATGGCAAGGGCGATAATGCAGTCTACCAATGCAAAGCTGAAAACAAGCACGGCTACGTGTGGACGAACTTCTACCTCAATCTCTTGGGTACGTTGCTGCCTTAAACGCATTCCCCAATTGCTTCCAGAAATCCTTTAAAAATATTATCTTCAGCATTCAAACCTCAACTGTTAACGGATGCTGGAGAGGTCGAAGCTGTGGCAGGCCAGTCGGTGTCGCTGGAGTGCAAATTCTTTGCCAGCCCTAATGCAGTTATCACATGGTCCAGCCCAGTTCTGCAAGGCATTGTTCATAACGTAATTCCGGCGAATCCGCACGGTGTTGGAAAACTTGTTATCCCCAGTCAGTTGCTAACTTTCTCTTCAGCATAGCGCCGCTTTTTTACCACGTCTCATATACCTTTTACAGACGTTACCCCCGAAGCGGAAGGCGAATACGAATGTACGGGCACAAATAAGTATGGTCAGTCTAAAGGAGCAGCGAAACTACTAGTGCGAAGTAAGCTGTTCACTCACAGTTAGGAATGATTAGCTTAATTTTTTGTCATGAAAGAGCCTTAACTGTGACGTTTTGTGGTAGACTTTGTTGAGGACGCTATGCAAACAAGTTTTTGCAGAAGCGACGCGATTGGAACCGTTCCGACGATCCGAGGAAGTAAAAATTGCCGGCGAGACTATTCGTCTGCCTTGTGAAGCTACTCCAGATGAACGGTAGGTTTTGGCTTCACGATTGTTATTTTTACTCAGATAGGATCATAATAGGTGCTTCCAAAAGCGATGATATCTCTGGTCAGTCCAATTCGTGCAATCAGTCCAATTCATTTAATCTATGACTTATTTATCACTAGATCCTGGTCATTGACTTTGGTAACCAAATGCGGCTCTTTTCAAGTGTGCACATTTATTACGCTTGGTGCACGCCTAATGAAAAAACCGAAAAAGGAGAACGAGTAGAGCAACGTTCTCTCAGATTGTGCAACGAAATCTCCGTTCGTAGTAATAGAAAGCTTAGGGTGTATATGACCCCATGCAGCGAGATACGGTGCCGACAGGCCAGCGTTTCATTTTTTCATTATATCATACCTAAGGGCGGAAGTGGTGTAGTGGCAAGTGGCACGCTTACCACGCGAGCGGTCCGGGGATCAAATCCTGGGTCGTGAGTCGCCCGGGCCAACCAAGCCTTCCATCCCTCCGGGGTCGGTTAATTGGC